ATACACATAAAATTAAAAATGAAAAAGTAAAGTGTTCAGCAGACTGCAAAAGCAAGGGGCTATGGGAATAGAGCACGTTCACTCCTAACCCCACACTGCCTGCGTTAACAGGACAGATGGACTCTGTAGGATCTTAAGCACAAGAGTGTCCTGTGGGCCAGTGACTGTCCAGTGTTAGTCTTGGTGATGCTACTGAAAATACAAAAGCTCAGTGAGGAGAACACGTAGCTGGTCCTTATGTGGCGTATGGCCCATAGTAGCTGCTGATATATCTTCAGTATATTTGGATGGATGAACAGATGGATACATGGGCCACAATCCAAATCCTTTAGTTGCAATGAAGACTACCCCCAGAAAGTGGCCTCCTGCACCCTAGTCTCAGGAAACCAGCCTTCTTGTGTCATGCTGTCCTAACGCTAAATGCCTCGTTAGCTACTTCTCACTCTTCAGGACCAGCCCCGCCAATCCCACCTCTTCCAGCCTCTGATTCTATCTTGGCATCATTTTACTGCCATTGTTCAGGCCTTGGGAAATTCTCTTCTGGACTCCTACACCACATCCAAACTACTCTCCAAGCCTCCAGTCTGCATTTTTACAGTGCTTCTTGAGCAAGCATGAGGACCTGAGTTCAGACCCCAGGCACCCACACAGCGGTGGGGGAGGCTGGCTGATGCCTGGCGCTTACTGGCCAGTCAGTCTGGTCAAAATAGTGAACTCCAGAGCGCGCGCGCACACACACACAAACGCATATATAAACCATGCACACTCCAGAACCCTGTAAGAGATCAGGTCATTACTGTCACCACACTGCCCTCATTCCCACCCAAGGATGGCCTATGACTCCCCGTAGGCTTCACCATCAAGCCCAAGCACTGGCACATCCAACCTGACCCTCCAGCTATGGCTAGTGGGCGCCCACCCCACCCCTGCTTGAGTTCTGTGCCCCTTTGGCACTTGCCCAGACCCATTTCCTGGGGTTATGGTTTAGATGAGGTTTGGCTCCAGTTAGCAAGGTTGAGAGGCAAGAGGGCCTTTAAGGGCCCCTGGGATCATAAAGGACCTGCCGTCATGGAGGATCCATGTAGCTTACTCAAGAATGAGTGCGTTTCTGTGAGGGCTTGTGCTAGAGCAAGTGCAGCTTCCTTTATCTGCGTTTGCTTCCTCTCTCTACACCCTCCTGCTTCTCCTTTTTGCTTCCCAGCCATGCTATGGCACAGCACAAGGCCTTTAGCTGAGCCAGTGCCCTGGTCTTGGGCCTCCAGCTGAATAAGCCTCTTTTCTTTATAAGTTGACCAACTCTAGGAGTTGTGTTATAGCAATGGAAATTTGATGGAGACCCCTGGGCTTCCTCCTCTGCCTAGAGTGTTTGCCCTTTATCTTCTCTGCTCCTTCTTCTTGCATTCTTCTGAACCCAACTTTAACATCATCCTACCCTAAAGATACTTGCCCTGACTGCTTCTGAGTCCATCACTTAAGACACTTAAGAACTGGGTGTTGCCGGGCGGTGGTGGCACACATCTTTGATCCCAGCCCTCGGGAGGCAGAGCCAGGTAGATCATCTCTGTGAGTTCGGGGCCAGCCTGGTCTACAGAGTGAGATCCAGGAAAGGCACCAAAACTACATGAAGAAACCCTGTCTCGGAAAAAAAAAAAGAAAGAGAAAGAAAGAAAGAAAGAAAGAAAGAAAGAAAGAAAGAAAGAAAGAAAGAAAGAAAGAAAGAAAGAAAGAAAGAAAGAGAAAGAAAGAAAGAAAAGGAAAGGGAGGAAGGAAGGAAAGAAAGAAGGAAAAGAACTGGGTGTCTTTCCTTTGGGATACCCTAGCGCTTCCTTGACATCTTTACAAGGTACCTAGTTCATAAAATTCTGTATTTTGTTCTTTGTTGTATGTCATACACCCCTCTCTAGTCCGGACAAAATGAATGTGTGTTGCATTAATATTTTTTGGTTTTTTATTGTTTGTTCATTTGTAGAAGTGGATGCACATGCACCATGGTGCGTGTATAAGAACAGCATGTGGGTCCCAGGGATCGAACTCAGGTCACCAGGCTTGGTGGCAAGCATCCTTACCCACTGCTCCATGGCTCCAACCCCATATTAATATTTTGTTTCATATCGAACATGCAGTTCAGCTTCTCCGAAGCATATTTGTTAGCATATCACATCTTTAACCAACCACATGACCAGTCCAGAGAATTAACTAGGGATTAAGATGTGGTCTGTGACTCTTTAAAAAACTGTATTAAATTAGATATGAGGGGAACAAATTTTTAGCCAAAAGTCAAAACATATGATCTAGGGCTGGAGAGATGGCTCAGTGGTTAAGAGCACTGACTGCTCTTCCAGAGGTCTTGAGTTCAATTCCCAGCAACCACATGGTGGCTCACAACCATCTGTAATGAGATCTGGCGCCCTCTTCTGACCTGCAGGCAAACATGCTGTATAAAAATTTAAAAAAAAAAAAACATGATCTAACAAATATGACTGAGTATTTTCCTTCCCAGCGCATGTAAATACATAAAGCCTACAGCTATACAGCCAGCCAGGTCTGTCGTTTTTTCCCTTCCTGTGTTATTCAAATACACCAGCTGATAACTGTGAAATACCAACAGCTAAGAATGAGTAGCAACATCTCATTCAATCTTCTCCACCATCCTGAGAAGCAGATCTCTTTCATTCACTGTTTTACAGAAGAGGAGAGTGAGATTTAAAAGGATTAAGCATCCTGCCAAAGGTCACACAGCTATCCATGGATGGGTAATCCAGGCGGTCCTATTATTCCACAATACTGACCTAGTCGCGACCTCTTAACCTCATTAGATCATCAAAAGAGCCACTTTGGGGCAAAAATAGCCATGGCTTCCGGAAATTTTTATTAAAACTCTAAATCTCCAGGCAATAACTTTCAGAAGTCATGATTCAGACCAGCAGTGATGCTTGAAAACAGGCTTGCAGGGCGAGTCTCCTGCCACAGAGACGCTAGGACTGCTGGGAAGGAATGCAGGACCCTGGAGTTTACAGCCACCTGTGTTTTCCCCTTACTTGGTCTCCAGCCATCACTGCCTGCTGAAAGGCGCTGTCCTTCCATTCCTCTGAGGAGTCCTCTCCTTCAGTTCAAGTAGTTCCATATTTGTCAACAGTTTTCATAGCATCTGGAGCACTGGCCCTGTCCACTGGCCATAAGCAAAACGATCATCTGGACACCCATAAAAGTCGATGCGCCTGGACTCCGCTCCACAGCTGTCAGAGTCTACAAATGAAATGCTGGCAACAGCATTTCAACCGGTTCCCCCCCCCCCAACCCCCCAGGGAATTCTGAAGGATGCTGACACCCGAGAACTGGAGGTGGAGCCCCAGTTCTGCAGCCAGCCGCGTCAACAGCTTGTCGGAGAACAGAGAGTCAGGGGCTCCGCCATGAACAACTGACCCAGAATCTTCATTTGAACGAGATCCTTGAGTGGGATGCATATACACGTTTCTGGGCAGAGAGACAGTAACGTAGGACAGTGCTATGGCCTCAGGTTTTTCCCAGTGTGGCATGCATAGCAAATGAAAATACTTCCATAACACAATGGAGGTACAGGTGAGAATGCCTGCTGGAACTAGGGCTCAGCCTGCCCCAGACCTCACGTGCCACCCCGAGGATGCCACCCTGAGGATTGAAAAAGCAGTGACTCACACAGCCCGTGCGGTGGCACAGCCGGCGGGCACTGGCCTAAAGTACTCCTGACGCGTCTTGGGGGTTTTTATGAAGTACAAGGATCTACGCTTCTCCTACCTGTCACTTATTTATTCTCACACAGATCAAGGGTCAGAAAGGCTGCTGACCAGCCAACCAGATTTTAGAAATCAGTCTCCATAGGGTAGAAGAATTCAGTCTTGTGTTCAAGTTCTAGGCGAAGTGCTGGAGAAACACAGAAAGCGTGGCTGGCGGGCCGATGGATCAGCCACTATGCCCAGGAAGAAACAAGAGCCTGCCTCCTCTCAGGAGCTCTCTTTCTCCCTGGTCCACAGAGCTGAGGATTAGCAACAGTCAAGGAAGCTTCCTCTGTCTTGAGTGCAAAGAAGAATGTCATTTTGTTTAATCCTTCCTTAGCAAAGTCTGTCTGCCTGTAAGCTAGGCAGGTGTCCCCTCTCTTAGTCAGTCCCTGTTAATGGGGTGATGGTTGGGGGGGAATGGAGAACCAAAGGAACACTTCCTGATGAGACTGTCTAAGCAAACCATGGAGTGTCAGGGACCCCACCTGACTCTGAAAGCCCTCTGATTCATAAACACCCAAATGATGGATGTTTATTCCTCTCTGTCCCCTAAAGAAAACGCTGAAAATTTGTAAAGCTCAGATTGGCAAGCTCCTACTTTGAAGCAGATCCTCTCTAAAGAAGAGCTGAGCAGCCTGTACAAACACACCTGGGAAGACAGTGGCCACTGCTCCCAAACAACCCAACTTTGTTCCTTCTCTTTCTCTATCTGTATTAATTCCTATCACTCTGCTTCCCCCAAACAGAAAATAGACAGAGCATTGTGGACTGGGTCTGGTTTAGTGTAGAACTTCTCTCATCCATCTTGAACCTGCACATCTCTTAAGTCTCGAAAGGCTGCTGTTCTTTGTACCCTAACCATCCCCAGAAGGGAGCTCTGCTCTGATGAAGGACAGTGGGCAGGGCATGCTGTCATTTGGTACCTCGAGCTGACGGGAAGGCTCCTTGATGCAGCTCCAGAGGATAGCATGCCTTTCCTGCTCTAACCAGGAACCTCAGGGTACAATTAGCAGTTGACCCAGAGTCCATGATGTCTAAGACATGAGCAGATTTTTCTCTCAAGTTTCTGACAAGAACATGTCGATAAATTTTCTATTCCTTGATAATCCGATTGGCAAGTGTTGCAGTATAAGATTAGGGAATTTGGGGGTTTGGGCCACATGGGCCAAAGAGCAGAGCTATTTCTCAGGACCAGTTTAAGTACAGAATGATGACTAAAAAATGTCTCTCTGCTCCGTGATCCAGGATGAAGAACAAGCTGTGGTATTTTGAATTTGGTACCTCGGAGACCTTTGCAGCCACCTGCAAGAAACTCCATGATCACATAAAGCTGGAGGTGAGTCTAGCCTGTTTCATGTAGACCACCTGTCCCCAGATGTCTACACAACCTCACTTAGAGGGCTCCAGTTGTTGCCGAGTTCTTTCTTACCCTGTGCAAGTGGATCTTTGGGACTCTGGGATCCTCACAGCCATAGTCACTCTGACCCTCGTCCATGCTTTCCCACTTAAAGAGACAGTTACCACCAAATGAGCAAGGGAGGAAGGCTGCTGCCAGGTTACTGTGCCATGGCACAGCAAGGATGGTGCTCGTGGGCTGAGAGTTGATCAGAGCATCTTCTATCTCACCTGCCTAGAAGAACTGACTCACAGGTGCCCTGGACGAGTCTTGTAGGTGTGTAGCCTGAACAAAGCTCCCTGTGATCTGGAGAGCCCTCCTGTCACCATCTTGAAATTCCGAATAATTTTTTTTTTTAAACAAAGAGCTGTGCATTTTCAGTTTGAACTGGGCCCCACAACTATGCAGCTCAGCCCGTTGGTGTGCTGTGTTTTCCCGAGGACTTCCAGCACTTGTAGCAGCCTGCCTGGGACGGTTTGCCTGTTGGCGCCCCTCGCCTGGCTGAGGAGCCTGCTTCCTGCCCCGCTTTTGCAGCGCTGCTCTCCTGAAGTCTTCTCATTGACTGCCAGCAGCATGGCTCTGGCCTGTCAGGGACCAAATTTCTATGCACACATGCTGTCTTCACTCGCTGGGGCCTCTGCCCATGGACTCTTTGCTAACAATCCCACGTTCAATCTCGTGGAATTCAGGCCCGCGGTCTGCTTTGCACTTGAGAAAAAACATATTCAGGCAGGTGAGGAAATCTCCTATCATCCCCCCAATTCCTGAACAAAAAAAATCGGGTCTAGAAGCTGCTGTGAGCAATGAGCTGCTATTGAGACCCGGCCATCCCTCTGATAGGAGAATGAAGCCTGTTGGCCGAGTGGGAAGGTCCTGCCACTCCCTGCTGGGAGGGAGGCTGTGCCCATGCTCGCTGGGAGTGTTCACAAACAAAACACACACAGCCAGAGGTTCCATAAGGCTCTACTTGACTCATCTGCGGGCCTCTCCGTTTTGGTTGCTGGGTTACTGACAAGGTGGCAGGAGGCACCTTTCTGCCAGTTTGGCCACAGGGCACAGAGGTCCAAAGGCCAAGAGCCTGTGTCTCCAAGTGATAAATGGCTGAGGCCACCTACACCTGGGAGAAGCTGAGGCAGCCTGCCCGCCTCATTTGTACATAAATCCGCTGCCTAGGAGCTGGAGCTGAAGGAGCTGAGTGTGGCAAACAGATCTGTGTGCGTCCTTCCTCTTGGCACCACACTCTGTTGGGGTCTCTTTAAATATACCGCTAGTGAGGGACAGCCCTGCCTAACCACGGCCAGCTGCAGACACAGCAAGCCCTTGTTCTCCCGCAGCTGGCCTTGACACTGTGCCCAGAATACAGCAGCTCAGCTCCCCTGCCTCTTTGGACCGCCCCACTGGCTCCAGCCTGGCCATGCCTGACAGTCAGTCCCCTTGGGGTCCAGGATGCAGCAACACTTCCTCAACCACACAGGGAATTGGTGGCCTGGTGGCCAAACAGTGGTACCTCAGGAGGCGGTGGGCTGCCAGGCTGGGGGTTGCTGAGAGCTTTCAGAAGCACTTCCTGTTTTCCTTATCTCTTCATAACTCTTTTCGGCACTTATTCATGAGAGTAAGCTTTGGGAGTCGGGGGCTAGGATGCGAGCTTGGGACAGGCACTATTTCTGCATCTAGAGGACAGTGGTGGATGGTCCCAGGTGGGGAGGGCAGGTGAGTGACAGGTGTCAGGAGGCCCAGGAGCCTCAGGAGGAACATGTAAGAGAGGCTGGTAAGCAGGTGGCCGCCACCATCGCCATGACAGGGCAGGGCTCAGCAGCTCCAGGTCCGCCAACCTGGGAAGACTCCATTCAGACGCCGCTGCCCGCTGCCCAAAGTCATTGCTTCCTAAGCAGGGAGTCATCCGACTGCAGGAAATGCAAGCCGAGACCGGGAGGGTTAGAAGAGTGAAGAGAAAGGAGGGAAAATGAGAAGGGGACAGAAAATGTCCGTGCTTCACCTGCCGGCTGTCACATGTCAGAGCTGAACGAGACGAGCCAGGGAGACAAGCACTATCACACTTCTTAAATAAGGCTCCGATGCACCCAGTAACTTGACCAAGAGTTCTTTGCCTGAACCAGGAAGGGAAGATCCCAGGTGTTCTGGAGTGAGTTGAGCCTGGAAACTAGTAAACAAATTTATCCACCAAGGGTTAAAACTCAGCAAATCCTCCAGCCTCGGTGTAGTGTCTTCCTCCTCTCTGCTCTGTGTGTGTGTGTGCGCGCGCGCGTGCATGTGTGCGCGTGCGTGTGTGTGTGTGTGCATATATGTTTGCTTGTGTGCATGTGTACATATGTATGTGTGCATGCATGTGTATGTGTTTGTGCAAATGTGTGTGTACACATGTGTGCATGTGTACAGTATATGTGTTTGTATGCATATAGTTGTATGCATGTGTATGCAGGTATATATGTGTGCATAGGTGTAATGTGTGTCCTGATGCATGTTTGGATGTGTGTGTGTGTGTGTGTGTGTGTGTGTGTGTGTGTGTGTGTGTGTGTAGTGAACTGTGAAACTCCATCTCAGTTCAGGCAGCCACACCACCCTGCTGAGGAGTGCTAGACACAGTCCTCGCACCCACGTGAGGAAAGAAGGAATGATTCATTACAGGAAAAATCGGAAGACTGCCGCAAAGTTGACCGAGGTTTTTCTCACACGGCACCTCGTTTATTTCTCCTGGCCAGCAGGACGTGAAGAGAGGAGGCACCACTGTGAGGAACACAGGGGCGGATGTACAGTGTAAGAGGCTGATGGTGACAGGGAGTGGGCTAACCTGAGTCCTGTCCCTGGGCAGTGGACAATGTCATCCCAGCACTGGGAGCAGAGATGGGGCTTGCTGTGCATCGAGTCCAGCTGTGCTCCGGGTTCAGTGGCAGAGTCTGTCCCAGAAAGTAAGGTAGAAAATGATGGTGGAGGAACCTGACAACCTCTGGCCTCCACACACGTGCACAGGCACACATGTGCATGCAAAACTACACACACACAAGAGTTGCACACATCTGCTTACACATGCACACACAAAGTTGAATGGCTGAAGGAAAAGGCTAAGTGGTATTTTTTTCAGGCAAAATCTCCATTAAATGGCGTAGACGTGGCTTACGGCCGCTTTTTTTCAGATCGGCAGCTAGTTGAGAAGAAATAGGAAACTTGGTCTCATCTCTGATGTAAAGTTCACCTGACTAGCGGGACTAGTCCACAGAACACACAAAGCTTGTTAATAAAAAGCCCACTTCACTAGTGCTGGGAAAGCAAATGCGGAGTCTCAGGGACCCATGGGAGTCAGATCCTTGTGGATCCTGTTTTAAGAGCCCAGCCCAGGGTCTCAGGCAGGGAAGAGGTAACACCTCCCACCCTTCCCCCCAACCCCAACCCCACCCTAGTATTCTCTGCTCACCTGTAGACACCTAGCCAGCACTGGACTAGTGAGGAACCTGGACTGAGGTTCACAGGACTGTCACCCAAGTTCTGCCCTTGGGTTCAGTGACTTACTGAGCCGTGTGTCTGTGCCTCAGTAGTTTCACCCATAGAACCGGGGGGTGGGGGCAGGCAGCCTAGTTCCCAATGACATTAAGTTCCCAGGGTTTTGAGGGGTTGTTACTTCACTGGCAGCGGTGCTAAGTCTCACAGAATGGAGAAGGCAGCCTATGAGGCACGTGTCCTTACTACCTTTTTCAGAGCAGGAAGGCAGGATGGCAGGCAGTTGGGTTTCCCCTGCGCCCACAGCCTTGCTGGCCTGACTCAGACTTGCATCCTGATTGGTCTGGGAGCTTGAGAACTAGGAGGCAGTAGGGCAGTAGTCAGCGGGTTCTCAGAGAGGTTCAGTGCATGTCCTGGCTGTTGACGATTCACTCCTTGATTCCTCTTGCTGTTCCTGATAGATTTAAAAATGGGCATGAAGAGCTTTGCTTATCAAGAGGGAGCATTAAGAAATATACAGCAAGTGCTCATCAGAGTGTTTCGTGTATGGGAGCCTTAGGCCTGCATCTAAACAGGGTGCTCAACACGGTTGTTGGCTTGGTAGTGCAGCCCCCTGACTAGGCCAGCCCTGTCCAAGGCCAGTTCTCAGAGTTGGCTTCCAAGAGGCCCTTTACATTTGTTCTAACCTGATTTCACCTGAATAAAGCAGTGGCGAGTGGGGGTTGGAGGGAGGAGGCACATTGAGTCACCACCTCTTGCCAAGCATCTTAAAGGTTTTCGGAGCTAGGTGGGGCAAAGCGGGCAGGCTTCAACTGGAGGATTCGTCTTACGTTCCATGGCCGTTATTTTGTTTTCCAGGTTAAAAATAAGAAATCCCCCGATTTTTTGGGGTACTTAATCTAATCTTTAAGATAACGTTCACAAGCAAAGGCTACCTACCACCTTGAGCACAGATGGGAAGGTCATCCAAATCTAGAAGCTGCTTCAGAACACTGTTAGCCAGAGTATGTGGGAGGGGTGTCTCTGTGCATCAATTACTCAAGTATTAAGGAAAGTATATCTATTTCCCTCTCATTCAGTATATATCAATATTGTATCATTCCTTTAAGCAGTTTTAAATCAAAGAAATAAAATATTATAGGAAAAACTGAAGTCCCCATGGCCTGCCTTCTTCCTTCAACACACAAGTGCACACCCAGGCACACACACAAACACACACACACACACACCACCACCACCACCACCACCACCACAGTATTCTGAGACCACTTCCAGACAATGTGGAACTGGTTTGCTATTTGGGTGATGATTTGGTTTGGGTTTTTGTTTGTCATTGTTGAGTTTTGTTTTGATTTGCTTGTTTGTTTTTAAGAGAGTCTTGCTATGTAGGTGCTCAGGCTAGCTTCAAAACCACAACCCCCCTGCCTCAGCCCCACCTTCCAAACCGTCATTCTGAGACTGCAGCCCTGGACTGTGACACCCCACAGCTGCCTTACTTTTCCTAGAGTTCCACTGTGGGTCATAAGAGTGGAAGCTAGTGCTGAGACGCTGTCAATGGGAATGTAAGTGGTAAACCACCCCAGGGAACAGTCTGGCTATGCACACGAAGCTGAAAGTCTGGTTATGGACCCTCTGACCCAGCCTGTGCCTCTCCATCTGCACCTGGAGAACTTGCTGTGCCCAAGCTTGAGCATGGGGAGGCCGTGCAGTGTCTTTATTACACAAAATGACACTGAGCTGAGTCTTAGAATGACACTTTAAGAAGGCAATGTGGTAGCAGCTCACACAGCTGTCAGTAACTCCAGTTCCAGGGTACAGGACACCCTCACACAGACATACCTGCTGGCAAAACACCAGTGCCCATGAAAAAAAAGGCATCAAAAGACAATGTGGATGAGACTGTTAAATACCACTGAACTGTATACTTTAACGTGGTTATTTGTGTATTTTATGAATTTAATGTCCATTAAAATGTTTAGAGCTCTTTTAATTTATCATTAAAAATCAAAAAGGGAATTTTTAGGGCCTTGTGCCAGCAACATCCAACCCAGTAGATGACTGGGATCTTGCCTATAAAAATCCCAAATTCTCAGAGCATAGCCCATATGTATAAAGAAGCTTCATAAAGCAGAGTGTGGTGGGCTAGCCTGTGATCCCAGGACTCAGGAGGCTGAGACTGGAGGATCTCAGCAAGTTTGAGGCCAGCCTGGGCTACACAATGAGTACCAGTCCAGACAGCTACATAATGAGACCTTGTCTCAAACAAAACAAAAACCTTCGTAAATAATGAGTCAGATCACTTTAAGATTGGGCAGATAGATCCCTTTAGCTAGTTGATCCAACGCAATGCCATGTCTTAAATTTTAGTGTGTGTGTGTGTGTGTGTGTGTGTGTGTGTGTGTGTGTGTGTGTTCATGCGAGCCACACTAGTATGGAGGTCAGAGAACAGCTTGTAGGACTCAGTTCTCTCTTTCCACCATGTGAGTTCTGGGTAGTTGTGAGACAAAACGTTTCCTGGGGAGACAATGCACATGTCTACTCATCCCAGATAGGAAATGCACCTCAGACCAAAGTAATGGCACCACTGAAGTCCAATTTGGTGAACCAGTAAGTTTTATTGGGGTTATTTACAGAAACATGGGTGAGGGGTTGTTTACAGGACCAGAAATGACTCATAGACAGCAGTGTCACCAAGGCCCACCCCAGCATGGGTGACAGCTCACAAAGCTGAGACCCTGGGGCACACAGCACAGCCTGCATGCAGCTCCATAAGTTAGCTAGAGGTCACCCTTTCCTGGTGCCTCAGTTGGTTTAAGCCTCTCCCAGGCAGCTCAGCGGTTACAGGCTTCTTCCAGGCAGGTGGTCTAGTCTCAGAGTCTTTGCAGCATGACTCTGCCACTCTGGCCGGGAGGAGCCTAGTGAATCTGGTCAGTTTCCGGGACTTCCTGAAGCTGTTTTGAATTGTTACCTTCCTGTTTATAGAGCTCGCCTGCAGGATGGACTGTTTCAATCTCAGAGGAAACTGTTACAAAGCAACAGTAGTAGGCGCCTTTACCCCGAGTCCCTGTGCCAGCCCCCCCAATGCCATTATTATTCAAAAGACAACAATCAAGGACTTCAAAGATTAATTAGCTTCATCAAGTTCACTCAGCCCAGTGTGTGACAGAAAAGAAACCAGGACTCTCAGGGACCAACTGGGTGTCCTCTGGTCCTGCCTTGCCCGCTCCCCCTGCTGTTTTGCACACTCTTAACTTGGAAGAAGGGTGTGAATCTTTAAGCCTTGGTTCTTTCTGGCATGACATGAACTTCGTTAGCCTTTCAGAGCATGGAGCGAATAAGTGGGAATGGCCACTCAGCCCAACCAACCAGAGTAGAATAAATGGAAACATCTTCAAGGGAGAAGGAAGTGAGAAAATAAAATGGCGAAAAGCCAAGTTAGGGCATCTTAGGGTCAGAGTTTCCTAGTGCATTTCCTTCCTCAATCAAGCCTACTGGTCCCTGTGTCCCGCATCAGCCCCAGGGTAGCCCTTCCAGGCAGCTCTGAGCACTTCTGGCTTCCTTTCCCCGCCCATCTGCCAGGGCTCAGCAACTCCAGATGCACCTGCCTGAGCTTCCTCAAGCTTTCTCCGCTAGTCTTTACTGATTTCAAAGGTCAAAATGACAACTGCATCAAAAAATATGAGGGGAAAAAAAAAACCAGAAAAGTAACCAACAATCTCTAAAGGAGGCCCCCACACGGGGGCTCCCTCTCAGACCCTGGACTAGGCACACAACACACCCAAACACCCATTTTCACAGAGAAAGCCTTTATTAAGTGGGGAACTAAAGTTAAAAAAAAAACAAAACAAAACGCTGCTTTCTGACTCAGGCGGAAAAACAGCAGCAAATGACCTTGCAGATGCCATTTTTAAGAAGAGGGGGAAAAGGGAGGTCTGTGTTAGAATGGGCTAGGATGCGGTGGTATGTTTTGATTGGGCATGTTAATTACATGAACTAAAGGAGGCTTTTGATTTCTGAACTTCAGTATCTTAATAGCTGGACCTTGGTGGTCAGCCTCAGGAGGACTAGTGGCCAAATAAGGGAACAGACCTTGATGGCTAGCTTTAGGAATGTAATCTAATGGTTTTTAGCAAGGAAGAGGGAATGGAGAAGAAGGGCAAGGCTGCCAGAGTCACGTGTTCGAGTGAGCTAGTGCCCCTTCAATCTCACCTACCAGGCACCAGCAGTTCTAGGATTACTGGCCTCTTTCAATCCACGAAATCCATTTTCAAACACGGTACCAAGACGCATGCCTCCCTGCTCCTTACCCGTGCATTGACTACAAGTCTCCTGCATGGAGTCAACGTTGTTCCGCTGACTCAGGACAAACTGTTTTTGTTAATTCCCCTTAGGAAATCCCATTGTTTGCTTTCAGCTCTGATGCAACTTCTTCTCTCCCTCGAGTGACCCTCTTCTTGTCTTTCCTGTCCATGTGCACCCGGCAGTTCACATCAAGCTCTGTTCCTCTATGTGCTTTTACTTTGTCGTTCTCGTCTATCGCCTTTGTCTTTTGTGTGAATCGCTTTGATTTCCCTTTGTCTTCAGATTCTTGACAATAGCATATTCTGTGTCTTCTAAGGACTTAGGAATGACATTTAAAGATTAAACCTAATCCCTACATTTTCTCAGGAACAGCTGGGTGGTAGGCAGTGTGTCTGATAAAAACTTATCAGGAAATCTTAGAGGACTGAGGCAGGGGCCCCATCACTGACATTCCAGGTTAGAGCCCTGTGCCCAGCAAGTTTCTGGAAGATTCTGTCAGCTAACCTCTGCCCCCAAGAAAGCTTAGCTTTTTGGTTGTCAAAGTCCCTTGGTAAAAGAATAACTTCCCTCAAACAAAGTATCTTTCAAGGTGAGAGTGAGCAGGGAGAGCCTGTCTGTGGAAAACGCAATAGCTTCCTTAGATATTCTAGACTATCGAAAAGAGTGCATGATCTTCCTTACCACACTCCACAATTCAGGTACTTCCGGGAGGAAAAATATTCTAATCCTTCTGTTCCCTCTACAACTGGACTGTCAAATAAAGAACAGAATAAACAAATATGGTTTGTGGAATGCAGAAGAGAAATCTCTTTCTAACACCTGTGAGGTTACAGAAGGAAAAGAATTGACTCTTTAATGAAGGGCAGAGGCTCTTAACAAGGGACTGACTAAATGTCCTTATGCACAAATACATGTACCTCAAGTCTATTATGATCCACAAATCCTAGCACTTCCATACAACGTCTTATTTAATTATCCTAACAACTCTGCATCCTGTGTGTTATCCTTATAAAGTCTCATGAATATAAATAAACACTCATCATTGAAGGCACAGTGGGTCACACCTTTAAATCCTAGCAGAGGCAGGTGGATCTCTGTAAGCTGGAAGCCAACCTGGTATACTTACCAAGTTCCAGGGTAGCCAAGGCTACACAGTGAGACCCTGTCTCAAAATAAATACTCTAAGAGCAGACGAGTTTCAAGCCTAGGTCTGTGATGCCAGCCTCACATGTCCCCCACAATGCCAGAATACCCACAGAGGGACAGTTCTGCATTACACCTCTACTGTCTAACTAATAATGCGTGTGGGTATTCAGTTGACAGGCCAACTCCCCTTCAGGACTTGCCCTGTGCATTTGACAGTTAGTTTTCTGAAGCAAGGACTGTCTTTTCATTTTGCAGTCACAGAGCCAGCAAAGAGCCTAAAAGGAAGTATTTCCTCAACTGTGATTTGCTGATTTAAAAAAAAAAAAAAAAGTTGAGTGGAAGTGTGAAACTCTCGCATTTAGTGTGAACATTAATAGAAATTGCCAATGACCACTTGAAGTCACACCTTTTTGCTGGCAGCCCCTAGAATGAAAGGGAGCCACCTGCTCCGTTTGTAACACAAAAGGGGGAATGGATGCCAGAGCGAACAGCCTGGCACTCAGACCTCCTAACCCCCAAGAGAGTGGGAAGACATCCCACGCCCAGCTCTGAGCTGTCGCAGAGGGTCTGGACAACTGTGAACCAGGACAGGAAATGCCACGGTTCTCCCACCTCTTTCCCACTGAACTGAGTTAAAACTGTGTGTGGGCAGAGCCACGTCGGCAATGAGGATGCTGGGCGGTGAGATTGGAGCTAGTGGTCCTGTACGGCAGAAGAACAGGCCTCCATTCTGAGCCCTGCTCATTGCCCAGAAGTCTACCTGCCCTGGAGCCCTGCCAGGTCCTACGTCTACCAGTCCTGCTCTGCTTAATGGAGTTGGACTCTTAGAAAATCCCATCCAGGCACTGGCCTCAGCCCTCCAGAGAGGCAGCAGAGCCTATTAATCTGCATCCTGAGCAAGAATGCCCTAACATACCAAAGTTTTTCTAAACTTGGAGAGGTGGAGCTGTAGAGAGGAAATGGCTTTGCCCTCGGTCCAGTTCTGAGGCAACCCGCCACCACCAGCTCTGAGGAACAGCAGTTTTGTTTTGGAAACTGGCACCCAGTGCAGGCTCACTCCTGGACATGAACTTGAGCCCCCCACCCCCACTCCCAGCTGCAGTACTCTACTTCTAGCCTCTCTGCCAATACCCCCTTCCAGCTGCCCCTGTCAAAGGCGCCATTGTGCCCTCCTGGCATAGCAACAGAGCAGGGCCAGAGAGGAAGAAAACAGTTTCTGCCCATGGGATGCTCTTCAGCAGGTTGTGTGTGCGCGGCTTCAATGCCACATTCCTTGAGCCCACACAATTCACCAGCACTCCATCATCCCTGTCACAGATGGCAGCTCCTTTCCAGGCTAGCTAGCTAGCCCACCAGAGCTAGCTGCAAAGAATGTGGAGCACACAGCTGGGAGATCAAGGCTGGCCACAGAGGGACATTAGGACAAGAAACTTAAATGCAGCCTGCGGTAGCCTGCCAGAGTAAATTCCAAATTTCAGATCTCTGAACCAGAAGGGATTTTATTTTAACTTACACACTCAACAAAAGAGTGAATCCTAGCATATTCTAGTAAGTGAGGCTTTGACCTCCTCCTGATTACTGGAAGGGTAGGGAGCCCTCAAGAAGCCCGTTCATGTCTAGATAGCATGGACATTCAGAACATGCTCCCTGATACTGCACAAGAGTTGTGTGTCCTGTTCCCTGCGATTGATTCCCTAGTTGGCATTTGGCACATTGCTTGGAATAAAAGAAATACACAGTATCTGTGGATGCATGAATGAAGTCCTCGTTGCAGGCATATTATTATCCTCCTCACTCTTCTGTGTGACTGTCTTTCATAAGGCTAATGATGTATCTTTTACATAGTATCACATTAATTCACAACGAGCTGTACAGTCCCAGTTCCTATATACCTCCATTTATCGATCCATAATTCTACTTTTTTTAAAGACTTGTTTTTTTGTTTTTGTTTTTAATTTTATGTGTATGAGGTTTTGCCTGCGTGTATGTCTGTGTACAGACATATGTGTACAGTATTCCTGGAGGCCGGAAGAGGGTATCAGTCCCTTGGAACTGAAATTGCAGACAGTTGTGAATTGCTCGGTGAGTGCTGGGAACCCAGCCCAGGTCCTCTGTGACAGCGTCAAGTGCTCTTAACCCCAGAACCATCTCCCCACCGACTGCTCTTGTTAGAACAGACGCTCCACGTTGTCTCAGAGGTACCAGCACAGCACGAGCAGATCTCGCGCACAAGCTCTTTACATTGCTCTGGCTTCTGGGTCTTGCCACTTGCATCTCATACAAGAAACCTGGCAGTTGAGAGAAGACAAGCACTAAAGAGAAGTTTGGAAGAGAAAGACCTTCCTTAGTTTCACGTCAGTGTTTCCTCGTGTGCGTAATGAGCATATAAATACTGACATGGCAGAGTTAAATGGATTAGATATAAAATATTTGATGCGCCTGGTTCATAAAGTTGCTAAAAATGATGTGCATTATTATATGTGGATGTTATTATCTTACTGCCCACGACAGATATCAGCTCCTAAAATCATATCAAATAGCCTCTCTGAACACAGGGCAAGCTATTGCCTGTAAGATTTACCTACACACCAGACCCATTTTTGTGTGCAGACAGGTAGACTGTCTTCCCAAGACCACTCTCTCCACTCAATATAGCATGGTTTCTTCCCTCACAGTACGTAGCAGACATTAACTCTGAAAGCACTCACTCTTGTTCTTCTCTAGAGAAAGCAAATACAGTGATTTCCCTGGCTACTTTTCTTACATGCAGAGTGAATTCTCTAATTCAGCCATAGGCCCTGCGATAGAAGGGTATGAGCTTCCTTCTGGGTCTTTTTGTCTCTGCCCATCAGTTATCAAAGCCGGCCTGCCTGCTGGTGCCTCTCTTCCCGACTCTTTCTGTTGATGCTGTTGTAGCTTGTGATTGGCTATAGTCAGAGCGTTCCTACCTTAGAACACAATTGCTTGCTCTTTGGTTTTGTTTTTTCTGGAGGCCTTGCTGGTGAGCGGTTAGCAGCACCTGTCTCCAACACTGACTGAGAAAGCACCTGGGGAACTGGGTCATGTCCTATTTCCACTCCATCCTTAGCTCTAGCATAGATGCTTGATGAATGAGTGAGTGCTTCTGTCTTCTCTGCCTCAGCAGCCAGCCTCCCATGCCTCTTCCTGTTGGGGGGGGGGGTGTGGAGGGTGGTACTTTAGCTATGAACAGAGGAATACTTCCTGCAGACTAGGATTAACATTCACATCTCTCCCTGTCCTGGGCATTGAGTCCACTTTATTTAGCCATCACTGTATTCATCTAAGGAGGTTGGGCAGATCCATCTAGGAAGATTCTGTCAGTGGTCTCCATGGAACAGCTTGTTTTCCCTTTTAGGAAACAAGGATTTCTCCACAAATTCTCGGCTTTCGATTCACAGGTAGTTATATTGAACACCCGATATGGGTTAGATAGTCCTGGGTCTGTGGAAGACACAGAGCCGTGTGGGACACTGTTCTTCCCTTCTGTTGAGCTTCGTGTCCCTTGGGGAAATCAAAGCAATGAAAGGCAGAGAACTACTTACCTGCTAGACACTTGGAAGAGTTGTGAGGAGCCACTGCGTCTCAGGCAGGTTGGGATGTATCAGACATAAACGGGGCGGTAAACAGACCCCCAACTCTTTGTCTTTGGCCACACAGAACAATGTAGTCTCTACAACAGGCAGTTACCGGGACCCAGCTAACTATCAACCTCAGCTATTATCTTCTTGCCAAACCAAAGAGGGCAGACCAGTTAGGGGCCGGTCTTCCCCAGAACCCTGAAATGCCCTCTCGGCGGCCAAGCCAAATCCGCAAGGACCCCTGCCCTCCTGCCACCACTGGCTGTCTTCTCCCGGGCTCCACAAGACCTTGGGACTACACAGGGTGATCTACCGGAGCTCGCTCTGCTTGACTCTTGTTGGTATCCTGTTCCCTCAAAAGAGAGGCAGAGGAGGGGAGGGGTGCCCAGGCTTATGTCAGTTCCCCACCCCCTGCCCTTCAGGCTTGGTCTGAAGCGGTGAGGCCCAGCCGTGGGAACCCAGTCAAAGGTCAGGATGCGGTCCACCTCGACCTCAGCCCTCTCCTTCTGCGCTGTAACTGAAAGACCTTTTCTATAGATACGGCCCAGTGTTTCTCCCTCAGCAGGAGCTCCCTCCTGGATTTGGTCACTCGCTGGGAAGAGGCTCAGTATCCTCCTCAGACCCTGCCTCCAAAAAGGATTAACCCCACCCCCCAAACAAACAAACCAACCTGAGATCTCTCAACTAAAAGCAGTCACACCTTCAGACAAACTGGTAATTAGAGAAAAGGGGACTGTTGAGAAAGTTAAGGAATTATGATTGCCATTGAAGAGTGTTGATGACGGAAGTAATTTTAAAGATACACAGTATTTACGGACGGAAAGAGAAAATCCGGGTCTGCTGTAGAACAAACAATTCGACATGCATGCCAGATATAACCTCTGTGCTGGGTGTTATTTTCTCTCTATTTTCCTGCACCTTTAGAAATACCCATAATAAAAAGATTAAAACGAAGTGAAGGGGGGACATATCAGAATAATGCAGCGGCAGAGTACCCTGGAAACCCGGGGAGCCGGAAGATGAGAGCCGGGAGGAGCCCCCAGAGCTCTTCAGGGCTGAGCTCCACCTCCTAACTCCCCAAGCAGACCCAGCCCAGTGGTGGGTGGAGCTTCGAGAGAAAAACAATCTGCTACCAAACTAGAGAAAAACTTGCCTGCGGGTGGTGTGGAGAATCCAGGTTAGGGATAACGCAGCCTAAAAACTGAAAGAGGTCGCCAAATAAATAGATTCTCTGTCCCCGAGGACCTGCAGGAAAGGGTTGACGGGGCTTGAATGCAGGAGGCCTCCCCTCTACCTTTTCAGGTTACCGAGGGGGCCCTGCTGCAGGGTGCATGATGCTCTGCCTCCCTCCCCTCTGATGCTGTCAACCCCCTCAGCGAAGACGAGAGCTGGGAGAGTCTAGGTTCAGCCCAGAATTGCAGAGACCCAAAGCGGGGTGGAGGGAGAACACCACTAATCCTGAGCTCTTTAGTAATTTGCTCAGCAAGGCCTGTGGCCTCCTAACCTAGTCACAACGACCTTCTCCCCAGAACCATCCCGCTCTGAGGAAGTCAGAACTGTGGGGCCTGGGGTCACAGGGCAGGAGCTGAGCAGGCCTCGGTGGCCCCTGCAGTACCTGCCCCTGCGCCGATTCTGAGCAGCATGACTAGCTGTAAATGCTGGGGCGGTGCAGCCCCAACCAGGGCTCAGGAGCCGAGCCTGAGAACCCCAGCCTAGTTCAGGGCGTCAGGAAAGGGCCTCTAGGCTCTCCCTGCAGTCACGGGGGTGGGGGTGGGGGTGGGGGGGTGGGGGTGACGTCATGGAGCACGGAGGATTTAGCTGGGGAACAGGCCATGTCCTGTGTTCCAGTTAGGCCCTCAAGTGCTCCACTCCCGGCTCCACTTTCTTAGACTCAGTACAGCAAGCCTTGCATCTTCGCGGAGTTCTGAAGGAAGTAGAGACTGGGGCTAGGAGGCAGGTGTGCAGAGGAGCGGCGGCGGCGGCGGCATTAAACTGCTCCAGCCAATGGCAGGGAGCAGGGGGAGGTCAAATCATGCAGGAGTTAGGGGTTGCCTCTGCCCCCACCAAAACTCCATCATTCCCCACCTTCATTTTCTAGTTGACTGCTTAAAGCTCAGAGAGATTAAGAACCAAGCCAGAATCACACAGCAGTCTTACAAGAGAGCCAGGATTTAAATCCCTCTGTCTCAGAGCCCAAGGGTGGGTAGAGACCTCAGTGTCAAACACCTCAGAATCCTCCCATGTCTCCTGTTTGCCCCACTTTACACCGGATAGAGAATGTAAGAGGACAGTCTACCAAGAACAGAGGAGGACTGCTCTTCTAGGGAGGCAGCAACGGTGAACACTCCTAGCAGGATATGGCTGCAGACAGACAGACAGACAGACAGAGGACACTTAAGGCTGCTGGCAAGGAAGAAAGGTGCCTATTTGTCAAGGAGAGTGCTGGTGGTCTAGTTCTTTGGTTTTGTGGGTTGTTTTTAAACAAATCTGGCCTAGAGACGGGATTTCATAACACTAATGTCTAAGCCCTTATAAGATAGAACGGCAGTGGGAGATCCAATTATTCAAACAACAGCTGCAAGCTGAATTTTGCTGTAAATCAGCATCAGCTTCACCACCTCATCTCTAGGGTGGAACCTGGCATCCAGCGCCGGCATTGGCAACCTCCGGCTACATCTGTGCAATGACCTTGAGCCAGCGCCTCCACCACCCGCTGGGGCAGCAGTGGTATCTCCCTCACCGCTAGGATCCTAAGAGACAGGGTAGGTGAAGGCCAGCCTGGTGCCCGAGGAAGTCTGGCCAAGGGTCGCTGTGACTATTACTACTTCTCAGAAGGGAAGAGATATTTCAATCAACGATGAATAAATGGAAGTGCTATGGAAGTTACTCCAACCAGGAAGGGAAGTAGCTATTGGATCTAGGAAGAGATGCAGGAAAGGGGACAGTTCCAGGCACAGAGTTGAGGAAAGCCCATTCTGAAGTGCAGACAAGTTTTGGCACAGTGGGCCAGAGCCTAAATTCCTAATTAGCAATAGCCTAGGAAGGGTGAACCAATAAGAACACTTTCCAAGATAAACTCGCAACAGATCATTAAACACATTGAGAAGGGAAAGGGGCTCTTGTTTCCAAGTCATGGTGACAGCAGCAGAGAGGCCAGGATGCGCATGCGCTAAGGGGGTTGTACACAGAGACAAAGGCACCGTGTAGCCACGCCCAGGAGGAACTGTGCAAAGAACACCTCCGACCTACAAGCCTGGCTCTGGGAAGCTGCAGCTGAGAACATGATGTGATGTGAAAAAGCAAAACAGCAGAGCCAGGCGAATATCTGTGAGTTCGAGGCCAGCCTGGTCTACAGAGTGAGATCCAGGAAAGGCGCAAAGCTACACAGAGAAACCCTGTCTCGAAAAACCAAAAAAAAAAAAAAAAAAAAAACAACAAACAGGAACAGAATGAAATGTAGGAAGTATAGTTCAGTAGGACTCTGCCATTCTGGACATTTTCTTCTTTTCCGTACTGCTAGTGGCTTTGTGCTGGTTAGTGTTTATAAACTTGACTTAAACTCGAGGTACCTGGGAAGGAGAACCCACAATAGAGAAATTGCCTCCATCAGATTGGCCTGTGGGCTGCTCTGTGGGGTATTGTCTAGACTGATGGTTGATGTAGGAGGACCTAGCACTTTGTGGGTGGTACCACCCATAAGCAGATGGTCTGAACTGTATAAGAAGGCAGGCTGAGCAAGCCTTGGGGAGCAAGCCAGTAAGCAGCAACCCTCCCTTGCCTCTGATTCAGTTCCTACTTCCAGGTTCCTAACTTGAGTTCCTGCTCCGAATTCTCACAGTGATGGACTGTGATCTGGGATATGTAAGCCAAGTAAATTCTTGCCTCCTGGGCTTAGTTTTGGTCAGTGTTTATCACAGCAACAGAGTATCGAACTCGATCAGGTCCTAAATTAAATATGGGGAAACATGCTAACGTCCCACCATGTCTAAGGTACGGCAATGGAGAACTTAATGGCCTTTGAAAATTCACACACATTTGAGTCCAAGTTGTTGGAAATTCTCTAGATATCATTCAGAAGTCACTCTGATCCATGTAGAAAACAGGAGATTCTGTCCCATGAAAGGCAAAGACAAATGCCACACCACTTTCCCAAAGACAGAAGGGTATACAGTGAAAACTACATATTGAGGCACTTCTCTCTAGTCCCTGGAAACTAGAGCCAGTGATTGACACCCATGCACAGATAATAAAGCTGACTAAAGATAGATTCTTTTATTACTTTTCTGATAGAGGTTGTCAGGAAATCATTTAGAAAATTCAATGTGAACTTAGCGTAGTGTCTTCTGTTTTGACAAAAACAAAAACAAACAACCCCCCCCCTCAAAAAAACCACAAAATCCACAGAATTGAGGTCTGCAGACCTGGATTTCCATCCTGCTCCAAGGTGAGGGCATGTTCTCTTAGGTCCATCTCATCTAAAGCTCTGTGACGCTACCTTAAACTGCAAGTGGGCCGGTAGGAGCAGGGTCCTGAAGATCCTGCATCAGTACAGCACCTCCATGCTAAGGTTACCACTATACCATGTCTGACCGAGGGGAGACTTGATCCCTGGGTTTGCCGTTATATAACTTAATCCCCAAATGATGGGAGAGCTGTAACGAAGGTCACAGAATGATGGTCTGGTTAGACTGGAGGTTGGACCGAGAACCAGAGGAAATAACTTAACATAGACACAAAGTCCTGTGTCTGCGCTGTATTTTTCACTCCTGCCTAAGTTCAAGAGAAAGAAACACATAGCAAGATGAGAATAGGGGTGACTGAGATCCCACGCCAGTGGAAGTGGTAGTGTCGTCATTTAGCTTCAAACAAAAGAGCTGATGAGGCTCGGACCACATCAAGGAGAAGAACAATGGTAGGTAACATGTTACACCCTTCCGGGTGCTTTGTTCATGTCTTGTTTTATGGGCATGATAATGTGATAGAATTCCAGCCCCAAGAAATGGTGGTGTGATTGCCACCTGTCCACGGAGTCCTGATAGTGCTATTGTTTTTGATGCCAGGGATAGTACCAATTAGCCAGGTAATAAACTGTGGTGTGTGCAGAATAGAACAGTCAAAATAAGAAAAGTCTGGAAAGGAGGTTCGAAGTACTGGCTACACTGAGCCCAGAGGTTGCCCAGCTAGATGAATGGGAGGAGGAGAAAATAGTTGAGTATTCCCTTGAAGTCTGAACATTGTGTGATGCCCTCAGTGTACCCCGCTTCCTCTGTCTCTCCATGCTCCAAGATTCATAAGGAAGGCAGCCACCATAGCTGAAGGGATGGTGTGGCAATAGTCAGTGAGTTTCTTGGGATTTGGGGGTTTTTAGTTTTTCTTTGAATGGGTTTTCTGTTGTTGTTGTTGGTGGTGGTTTTCTTGTTGTTGTTGTTTGTCTGTTTGTTTGTTTTGAGACAGGGTCTAGTGCATCCCACACTGGCCTTGAACTCACTATGTAACCGAGGATGTCCTTGAACTTCTGATCCCCCTGCCTCTGCCTCCTGAGTACCGTGCCTCCTGTGCCACGTGCCCAGCATATACACTGCTAGGGATGGTTCTGTGCACGCTAGGTTGGCATCCTGCTCCCTGAGCCCCAGCCCCACATACACCACGATAATGACTGACGATCCTCTCTCTAAATAATACTGGACTGGCTGAATGCAAGGAGGAGGAAGGCCATGCCACCTAACTCCAAGAGGGAGGATAGGACCAGTGGAGGAAGCCAGAAGAAAGAATCCATGCCCACTTAAGAGAACGTTGAGAGGATCCAAACTCCCCAGTGGAGAAGTGTGTCCCCAGTTACCAGAAAAGCTCACTGTATTCTTGTTCTATGGTTGGGACAAGTCAGAAGGTGACAGCATTGATTAGGAACTTCAAAGAACTGGGGCGGTGGGTGAGTCACTGTGAAGGTAACGAGCGCCAACTCTCTTCCTCCTCTGGCGAAGACGCTGAACGTCGTTAGATTTCTGGGTATTTTAGGTCACTTTCTGTTGTTCCTGAACACCACAAACTGGGCGAATAGTAAGTAACGAAAGTTTAGTTCTTACCATTCAGGTTCAGGCGCTGCGTGTGACAGGGCCCTTGGCTCCCAGGGACTCTGCGGTCTGGAGGCAGCACGCACACTGTGGTTTCCTTCCCCTTCCAACAAGGCTAATAAGATCACGGGGCTCCATTCTCATCTAATCCTAATTAGGTCCCACCTCGGAATACCGTAACAATGGAATTAACCCACCATGAATTTGATGGAGGCGGCCAGAGCATAGGAGCAGACACCCCAGGTGGGAATAGATGCTACTGTATGTATGCCTTCAGCTGTCCGCCGTTCTTCAAAGAAGCAAGCTAAAAAAGAAAACAAAACAAAACAAAACACGGAGTTTATAGTTTGTCAAATTCCACAAATGTGGCGCTTTCCTGTGCATTCTTGGGTATAGGACAACTCTTTGGGTCCTGTTCATTCTTCTGTAAATGAAATAAATCACCAGTAATCCCAAGGAACAAGAATCAAAGCTAGTACTTTTTTTTTTTTTTTTTTTTTTTTTTGCTGCGTTGGTAAGCATCACGCCAAAATAGGATTTACAGCTAAGTGAAGCACAGACTCAAGCCCTCCAACCTTTCAAACCCGTGGGGGATGGGGGTGGTAGAAACTAGATAAAGAAACTCAGCTACGTCAGCAAGCACATGTGCCAGAGCAACACTTACACAGCTCTGAGAGACAGGCAAATTGGAAGTTCTCCCAAACCTGAAAGTCTCGCACTTCTCAGCAGGCAGAGGGAGAGGATAAAATCAAGGGATAAAATGAAAATAGTCATTTGTTGAGAATCTCCCTAATATTGGTTTCTGGACCCAGTGACACAGCAGATCTTCACTGTGATTAGGAGTCATCCAAACTGAGGATATGAGTTTGGCCACTGCCTTGGTCTAAATTGCATCCATAAGCGTTACTAGTCCTTTGGAAGTTTTGTGCTGTCTTTCCTAGAGCCAACCAGGACTAGCCGGCTCCATCTCATGACAGTGGTCAAAGCCTTAAGTGCCAGATATTCAGCTTCTAACTGACAGTGTTGGGGTGGCTGAGAACCCGCCACACCCTTAAGATGCCCCACCATACACAGCCCCACCATGATCTGCTTTCTCTCTGTTTCGCAGTGTGACGGAGTTGAGGTGGACCTGAGCAATATCTTCCTGGAAGGCATTGCCATTCTTAACATTCCCAGCATGTACGGAGGCACCAATCTCTGGGGAGAAACCAAGAAGAACAGGGCTGTGATCCGGGAAAGCAGGAAGAGCGTCACAGACCCAAAGGAGCTGAAATGCTGTGTCCAAGGTAAGCAAGCACGGGGAGAATTGCTCTAGCCATTGCTCCAGTGACAGAGTGTGCTGGCAAGCCACACAGAACCTACAGCATGCTTGATGAGCCCCTCCCCCCACCCCCCAGCTGCCAAGGACCTGGTGCTCTGGGAACAGGCTGACTCATCATCCCTGGGGTTGGAAAGTTTACAATCTAATTGAGATGGCAAGATTCACAATAAAGGAACCCTAAGCGATAGTCAGTAGGCAAACCAGGGCTCCATGAGGTTAGGAGTCAAGTCCTGCTTCCGCCATGGGCCATGGGTACCAATGTCTTCCGTGTCTGCATCCAACAGTTCTCAACCTGCTCTCAACTCCCAGAGCAACATCAGACCCCATCCATCACTCCTTCCCCTTGGAAACCCTTTGTCCCCATGGCTTCTAGAACTCTACTTGCTCCCAGTTTTCTTGGTCACCCCACTGCTCACTACTCAGTCTCTTCTCTTTCTGGCCAGTTAGCTTTTTTTGTTTAAACCACCCACAATCCACCCACTTCTTATCACCTGCTTTCTGATCACCTGGATCTAAGCCACTATCTTCTTTCTTCGGAATTACTAAAAATCCTCCCCGCTGGATTCCTTCTTCTGCCCGTGCTATATATAACGTGTGCTCACCAAGTGCGGTGGTGTGTGCCTGTAACGCCAGCGCTGGAGGCAGAAGCAGGCGTGTGAGGCCAGCCTAGGCTATTTACCTAGAACAACCTTCCCAAACAGTCTATCCTCACCACCACGTAAAGACAGACTCCTGAGGAAATGTCCGATCATGACACAGGCCAAATCCTGTCTCGACTCCAAGTAAAATGCCAACGGTCTTAGTGTGATCTGTCGCCTCAAGGGGTCTAGCCTTCAGCTAGCTCCCAGACCTCCTCTTCTGCATGGAGTCTTCCCCGTCACTCACTCTGCTTCTGCCACTTGTACAGGCGGTTTGCATGAACCGACTCGTCCTTTCCAGGAGAGCTGGAGAGTAGGTCTAAGAGGCCCTTGGCTTGTATGCTTTCTGAGATGTCCTTAAATGACCTTCATCCCAACCCTTATCAGTCAAGGACTCGGTCAAAGCACCTGGCTGCTGATTCCCCTAAGGATTATTTGGCTTTCATGGTATCTTAGTTGCCTGGAGAGTGGAGGGTGAGAAACTGGGGTGGGGACATAGTATGAGTACTAAGAGAGGATTGGTTTCTAGTCTAGGTATTGCTACCAACCCATTTTTAGGTGTGTGTGTATGGGGGGGGGGGGTACCTCAGTTTTCTTTGCTGTAAAACCAGCTTTTCAGGTAAAATCTCCTTAGCTAGGCAGATGGGGCTGAACAAGAAGCTTGACTCCTAAACCAGACTTGCTTTGTGAAAAGAATTCCTGGACTCGGAGCTACCTACCATTGAAGGGAGGGGGCTACCTACATTGAAACTCGGAGGGGCTATCTACCATTGAATGGAGGTTACCTACAATTGAAGGGGGGGCTACCTACCATTGAATGGAGAAGGCTACCTACCATTGAAGAGAGGGGGCTACCTATCATTGAAGGGAGGGGATTCCTACCATTGTAGGGAGGGGGCTACCTACCATTGAAGGGAGGAGCTACTTGCTTATTTCACATGGATCATCTGTAGTCTCAAGCAAGCTAATCAAGAAACATCCTCTTCATACCTCTGTCCTTTCAAAGAGGACTCAGGAATATTTCTCTCTTGCCCTCTTATGCCCCCTTTATTTCACACAGTAAACTTTTCAATTTGTATGAATTATTAAACTGAGTAATTCATTCCTCTTTCCTCCCTTAGCAGGGGAAGTTGTGGGTGCTAACAGAGTAAGGGAAATACTGGAGGTTGCATAAAGTTCCTGGCACCCCTCCCCCCATGCTCCCACTTCAACCCCACTCTCACCTCCCTAGCATCCAGCTCTACCAGAACAGAGAAGGAACTGGCAAAGAATTAACCCTCTCCCATATCCACCCTGGGGCTTGAGGAAGCTCTTCCTGAGATCTCATTCTGCCTTAGGACTCAATGTCAGCTTGCATTTTCTCCTTAAGCGTCTGATCTTACATCTTTCTGTTCTTTAAGCAAGAGTAAACTGTTGGTCGCTCTTAGCCCCAACCCCCCTTTCCCATCCCCAAAATGCACTTTCAGAGCTGAGAGATGAAGCACTTCCTGTTCTTCAGCGGGAGTGTGAGTGGATCAAAGGAGAGGCCCTGGCCTCCGGACTTCACATAGGCTCAACTCTGAGCCTTCCTCCAGAAAGAGCCATCATCCGGTAAAGTTGAGTTCCCAGTGGGAAAGCTAGAGATTTCCCTTCGCCCCTGGGCTCCCACACACACACTCTGCCTCTCACTAGTCCGTGGTCTTGTGGATGTCCTTGCACCTTCTTGGCTCTCCATTTTTCTTACCTGTAAAACAAGCAATCTGGAAATCATATTTTGAGACTTCCCACGTCTCCAAAAATTGGCAATCAAGGCTTGGTCTATGTGGCCTCCTTGAGCAGAATTGTATGTGTGTATTTTGTCTTCTGTGTGTTTGTCCCAGGATTTCTAAGGGGGCAGGGAGCTCTCTGCAGGCTCTTCATACATCGAGGTCCTTGACTCCTTGGCCTCTCTTTGGGACTGGAAGAGAGGGAGAAGTCAGGGCAGAGTGTAGAGAGAAGGGTCTCATCATAGGAAGTACAAGAAGAAAGAGTAACAGAATGCCTATGCCAAATCTCATAACCTCTCTCTCATGGGAAAAGACCCAAGTAAGAAGGTCGCTTGGGATTAACATAGTGAGTTAGTTCTATGAGGACGCAGTCTGCTGAGAAGGTAACAAGGGCGCGGGGGAACCTGCAGGTGGATAACCTGGGTTTAAATTTTGGCTTTATATTTTTCAGTTTTATTAAAATTTGAAATTTATCCCACCTCCTCAGCTTCCTCATCCATAAATTGGGCATAATAATACCTAGTTCCCTAGCTTGTTAAGAAGATGGTGGGCATAAAAGTGCCTGGACGCAGTATGAGCTCAAACTTAAAGATAACCGCCCTCCATCCTTTTCTGAGCATGCAAGTCTTCAGCATGCGCCACCAATGAGAAAGAGCAAAGCTCCTGCAGAGTTCCACTAAGCCTTGTCTCAGCACAGAAAACTCACACAAGCGATTGTACCCACTGCCCCCACCCCCAGACTTCTTAGATCACAAGGACAGAGGCTAGGGATTATGAATCTCTGAAGTCCTACTAACTGTCCCCAAGTATAAAAAACTAAAAAACAAGGGGCTGGACAGATGGTTCAGCAAGTAAGAGTACATAATGATGCTCTTTCAAAGGACCCAAGTTCAATTCCCAGCACCCATATCGGGTGACTTATAACCGCCTGTACCTCCAGTTCCAGGGGACCTGACCCCTCTGACCTCTATAGACTCTAGCACTCAGCCACACCCAGATACACAGACACACACTTTAAAATAATAAGAAAATAAAAGTTTAAAAAACAAAAAGCATTAGATAAATGAGAAACTCATGGCATCAGTTATCATTAGTATTTGTAACAAGAATGGTCAGAAATAATCTTTAATTTTTATATTTCATTGTAGCTTGCAAGTAATTTTATGTGAATGAATATAATCCTAACCAAAAACCTATGGAAAAGGTTATGTACCTAGCCAAATATCCCTACTTTACAGTTGGAAAAAAAAAAAAAAAAACTAGTCAGTTTATATCCAGAAGTAGCATTGGAACCAAGACTTGTGTCCATGATTCCAAACCAGCACTTAGAGGATGTGCCCATCTAGAAAATGTACTGAGGAGACTTCTGTGTATGTTGTACAAGCCAGGTTTTCACAGCATGGGTGACAGGTAGATGCAGTCCAATGAGAGGATTCAATCTACTTGGTGACACTCTGATCCTCTCCCTTAATGACTCACCCCTCTAGAACTCCCAACAGAGAAACCAGCTCTGAATTTCCTGGACACTGAGCTTTGCCTCAGCCTCCCTAGAAAACTGGTTGTAGGTTGCCCTGAATTATAGGCTGCATGTCCTCATCATCTCTTTCCCCTATCTGTCTTGGAAAACAAGGGACCTATGTTCCACAGTCACTTGGGATAGTGGGCCCTAAAAAGGAGGCAGACTAAAGTCACATTAGATAGCCAGCTTTATTCAGAACATTCGACAGTTTATACCCTGAGGGTTATGAAAGGTCACCTGATTAAAGTTCTTGTGGACTCAAGCTGTATACGATCACAAAGACAAGCGGCACATGGCAAAAACATGTTTTTCCATAGAGGCACATGAATAGCAACAGCTGAAGTCAACTCACTCCTGTCTGCTGCACCTGGGGGGAGCACGAAAACACATTCCAAGAACAGCTCTGTGTTTTGAAGAAACTGAGGTCGCAAGACTCTTGTTTTCTTGGAGTTTTCTTACAAGCACTCAGAATTCTCACATGACTCCATTCTTGGACTGTGTTTCAACAACCTTTGTGTCCTTTTCACAGCCTACTACCCCAAAGGGTGTAGAGTGTTCTACAGAAGTTGTTGCTGCAAGAGGAGAGAGGAAGGAATCTTGCCTTCAGTCAGCACAATGGGCAATAGACTCTGCAGGAAGACAGGATCAGGCAGGAAGCGAAAATGATGAAGACAAAGTCTTAGAAAGCATTATATGTGGATATGGGAACCATTAAACGCTCACTTGACAAGTGAGATGTGCTAGCCATCTTTAAATAACTAACTCAAATGCAGCTTAAAGGACTTGCGACTGAGAATCTGTGTGGAGTGGAGGGATGCACCCCCGAGGAATTACAAAAACAAAACCCAAAATCTCAGGCCTCCTCACCTCCACCCATGTGACCTTACAGTCTCTCCAAGCCTCCATTGCAGCACTTGACCAAACAGTGATGGCTTCCTCTGGATTGTTGCGAGGGCTGAATTGGATCATCCTGGTAGGGCACATAGCAGCACCTAGAACTCAGTGAGGCCTTGACCAGCAGTCATCGCTGTCACCGCTTGGTGTTCAGCGACATGAAGGGGCCAATTTAGAAAGCCTCTCGACTTCTTCAGACATTCGACCTAGATTTCCTTAAACCATCTGAGGCTCTAGCAATCCCTACCTCTTGGGTTATTGTTGGGACAATGCTTAAGTGCATTTGGCTGTTGCTGGAGGGCTTAGGAAGACACCTGAGCAGACTGCTGTCCAGACAGGCAGGAGGCAGGACAGGGGTCAGGGAGCCAAGTGAAGCACAAATCGGGGTAAGTGAGTGAAACTGGAAAGCAGAGTCCTTGGAGCTCTGCCATTCCCTTTGGCACCAGCCCAAGATACAATGAGAGACTTCCTACACACTTTCTCATTACCCTCAATCCAGTCTTCAGGCTGGAGCCAATGGTGGACTGCCGATAAGTCACCCCCACTGCACCCCCTGGCTATCTCACATGTGGTTTCTCTATCAGTCCCACTTGAACCACAAATAGAGTGTTCTAGACAAAGTTCTAAGCCAAAAATCTCTCTAGACTATCAGCAGGTAATAATTTCTGCCAGTAAACAAAGCAAGGGTCAGACACTTGTGGTAGAGAGTTTACTCTGAGTAGTTCTTACAGTATTACAGACAGGCTTTCTGTCAGATCATTCAGCATCCATGCAAAGGTACTAGAGCATGATGGGGAATAATGACTTCCCAGCCCCTAGGGGACTAGCACAGCATGGCCTCCATAAGATAAGCTTGCAGTGAGACACATAGAAGTGTGATAAGAGCTAAGAGCTGCATGACTCCCAGGTCTGAGTGAGTCCAGCCAGCCAATGTAACATTCACAGGCACACCCGTGGCCTCCCTAGCCTGGTACTGGAACCTGCTGACCTAAGCAGTCTCCCAGCCCATGCGAATCACCCCTGCTCTCCCAGATTCAGAGGCTCTCTCTAGGAAATAGAAGCAAACTCACAGGCATGCAAGATCACAGGGCTCTTCTGCTCATTTGACCCTGCTATTTTGCAAGCATGGATGGCTCGCTCATGTGTGCATGGTGCCTTGTGGGTTTTCACCAACCATACGACGAGTGCCCTGAGTTCCAAAGCCAGGGCACAGATACCAGCCAGCCATCTCAAACGTTGATACTCCCAAGCGGGAAACCACAGCTCAGTTGAGACTCAGAAATAACGACAAATCTAAGTTCATGATTTCTTGTGGCTTTCTTCCCACTTATATATAATAAAGTCATAACAGAGGAGGGCCCAATAGGTTCAGAGATGGCCGAGGCTTTCCCTAACCAGCCTAAAAATCGTACATTTCACGGGGGTATACTGCTTACTTTTTGTTCCTGTGATAAAAACACTGACCAGACACCAACTTGGGGAAGGAAAGGGCTTATCTGGCTTATAGGTTATTGCTCTCATCAAGGGAAGCCCGGGCAGGAACCTAGAGGTAGAAACTGAAACAACCATGGAGGAAAGCTGCTGCCGGCTTGTCCCCATGTCTTGTCCAGGACCACCTGCCCAGGAATGACACCATCCACAGTGGGCTGGGCCCTTCCATATCCATCATTAATCAAGAAAATGCCCAGATAACATGCCAATGGGCCAGTCTGACGGAGGCAGTTCCTCAGTTGAGGTCCCCGCTTCCCAGGTGACTCTAGTTTGTGTCAAGTTGACAATACCTGGCTGGCTTAGATGATCTCTCCTGGGGGTTGGCAGAGAAGGAGGCATGTGGAGTACTAGGTGTGTGCACTGGGACTCTTCTTGGCGCTGGAAAATTACCATGGCAACATGTGTCATCTTGTTAAATGTTTGCAGGCCTACAGAAAAATTTGACTCTGCTCTGCACAGGAAATCACAGCTCTGCCATTCAGTCTTAGCAGCCCACGCTGGCATCAACAAACGCCAAACTAGTCATTATCTTCTCCTTCTACCCATGCTTTTTCTCCTCTCCTCAAGCCCACTGCCTCCCCACAACCACATGGCCCCTGCCTGGTTAGTGTCTCACCTGGTGCCCAAGCCAGATACCCAAGATTCCCCCTCAAAGCTACCTGACCCAACTCTCCTGTGGTTCCTCCTTTATAGGCCATCTCCTCACTAGACTGGGAGCTCCTGAGGGAGCTCCAGATGTCATGCTCCCTGTGCTTGGCAGAGTCTCTGAGGCCTCAGATGGGTTTCTGAGTACTAGCTGGCCAAATGCACCCAGAGCCAGGACACAATGGAGTGATAAGCTATGGGGCTGTTGTTTTTAAGTTGATCTATCAGCAAAATGGAATCTCTGTGAATGATGTTGGCACACACAAGGTCCCAGGACTTCTCCACCAGTGACAGCTTGTGTTACAGCTTGGGAAGCCTGCCTCTGACCTTCCCCCAAGCCCCTGTCTATTCCCAGCTGACTGTCAGGCAGAAACCATGGTCAGTGGGAACTCACAGTGACCACCAGGGGTTGCCCCTCTGGATTCTGCAGGTAAGGCCTGGTGCCTTGTTTGTTGTTTGTTTTAGGCCACACAATGTGGTTCAGTAGAAACTGACTTTTCTATGTAGTATTGAAACTCTACAATCACAGATCTCTTTAAATTTTAGTGATCCTCTTGTTCTCTAGATAAGGAGAAAGAAATAGCAAGGGGAAGTGGTTTGCCCTTGGTCAAACCTGGATTGAAATATAGGTCTTTTAGCCCACAGAGAACCTCAGTCTCCTAGGGGCAGCAAATATTTTTCTATAATAAGACATGTAACTAGGCTTTGTGTGCCGGAGTCTCCAATGTAACTTCCCAATTCAGTTCACTTAGCATAAAAGCGGCCCTGGAGAGTAATGAAACAAGTGTGTGGGTCTGTGTTCCAATAAAACTTTATCAACAAAAACAAATGGACTGTATTTGGCCCTCGTACCATGTTTAACTAGTCTGTGCTTTAGAACCCTAAATGGTCCATGAACCAAGAGGATAGGCATCACTTGAATGCAATGCAGACACTCAAGGCCCACACAGACACGCTGGAACAGAATCTGCTTGCCCACGGCCTCTCCAGTGATGTATGAGAAAGACTCTGTTGCTTGGCCTGGATGATCGCCCCCCCCCCCCCCCCCCGAAGAATGTCATGATGAAATTTTGTATACTAGAAAAATGAGGTGTGAGGAGGTTAACCAACCTGTCAATTGGTGGGTCTGTAACTAGAGTCTGAGTTCTAGCATTCCAAACATGGGATGCTACACACCAAATAACCCACCCTAGCTAGCTCCAGCCTCATCACTTTGGGCTGGCCCTGCTGGAAATTGAAGGGAGGCGATTGGCCTCCCTTTCTTTGGCTGACTTTGGAGCAGAGAGGACTCCAGCTGGGGCTCCTCCCACCCACCCCTATCTCCTGAGAGCTGGGAGGGGCTGGTGAGGTGGAAATGTTCCAGGGAGGCTGCTCACCATCTGACCATCTGCAGAGGGAAACCTGCTCTCGTTGGGTTCAAGCTGGAGCTGAACTCTAGCTTGATTTCTGCCTCCAGCCATCTGCCTCTCACAATAAAAGAGGGACTGGGGGGACTTCACCCTTGACCAAGTGCAGGTGGAGCAGCTAGTCCAGGTTCTTTGACAGGACTAAACACCCTTGTTTCATTTTAATCATTGCTGTTCCATTGCTTGCACCATTTTGGTTTCCAAAACCTGTCCCTGTTCTTTGCAGCAGCTTTTAAGCCACTCAATACTGGGCACTTCCTGAGATCCACCCCCACAGCAAAGCACCATGCTGGCTGCATGCCCAGACGCTGTTGTTCAGATTTCTTGGCTAGTTTCTATTTTGTGCAGGGACTGTGTATGTCTTAGTCAGTTGGGGCTGCTGTAATAGAATACCATAGGCTGAGTGGATTAAACAGCAGAAATTTCTTTCTCATACTTATGGAGGCTGAGACGTCCAACAACAAGATGCCAGGCAATTTGGTTCCTGGTGGGGGCCCACATCCCGGCTTGCAGATGAACACTTCTTGCTATATCATGTCACATGGAAAGCTCCTCTCTATATACCTCTTTTTCTAAGAATTTACCCTCATGATGTCCCCAAAGCCTGCTCTCAAATTGAGAGCTGGTGCTTCAACATATGAATTGGAGGGAGAGGCGTGGGGCAGACACAGACATTTAATCCATAGCAGTATTTGATCTCAATTTTTTTGGACAGTCTCACCATGTAGCCCAGGCTGGCAAAGGACTCTTTAAATGCTAGGATTACTGTTGTGAGCTCTCAGCCCTCAGTGTTACGGCTTAGTCAACTAACAAATAACATGTTGGTCTGCCGTTTAGTGAATACCTACTTTGGAAACAAAAGACCTCGTATATTTATTTCATTATTTGATTTTATGTCTGAGGAAGCTGAAACCCTGTGGGATTAAAAGACTAGGGTGAAATCACATTGACAATGTATAATCAAGCTAGATTCACACCTGGCCTCAGGTACTTAAGCTGATCCAGGTACTGCAGAGGCTGCAGTAGAAAGACAGTGTGGTCCAATCCACAACTCCCACCAGCATGGTGTTTTGCTACAGGATGGATCAAGAGGTACCTAGCAACCATGTCAATACTAGCACAACAGGCAAGTGCCATGGAGTAACAGAGTCAGTGGGTACCACAAAAGTGTGAGGCACAAGAAAGAGGAGGAGGTCTCTCCTTCAGAACCCGATTCTTAGCTACTCAGCACTATGCCATTCACAAAGCAGGTGATCAATTAATATTCAATGGCCAAATGAATGAATGAACGAACGAGATAGAACAGATATGTGCTAGTCCTAGATGCTGGCAAGGATTTGGAAGCGACAGAGAATGAGAGAAAGAAGACATGAGCTAATGCAGAATACGGGTTTGCAACTGTAAAGCCTTCATTTGGGAGACAATGGCTGAAGAGAAATAATGGGGCAGAACCAAGAGTAGTGGTGGGTAGACACAAGCTGCTGCCGCCATCCTTTGATTATAGATGAGTCGTGTGGATACTGTAAGCAGAGACCCGTGTTTCTCCCAGCACGCTGCCAACTCATATTTCTTCCCATGTTCAGGTCAGCTCACCCAACATTTGTTATGCATCTAGTTATATTTAGCACCATATGCTAAAAATATTTTCCATTCGTCATCTCATTTTAACTCCCTATACGTCCTTGCCTTGGTCCATTTTCTTCAGCTGTGACCCAGACCACAGCGCAGGAAGCTGGGATATCCAAGATGGAAGGATCATTTCTTCTTGCACAGTCTCACCTCAGCAGCCTGGTGATGTCAGACCTCTTTATTTTTTTTCCAGGACCTCCTTTCTTCCTGAGAAATTC